CTCTTCCATATTAGTTGTTAGAATCAGGATAGCATTAGCATCTGCTTTATCATACTTATCTTTTTCCTCTTGATAAGTCGTTAATTGAGCAGAGTGGCGCAGTGGAAGCGTGCTGGGCCCATAACCTAATATTATTAAAATATTGAAAGCAGAGATATATAACACAGTTTATTTAATTTTATACTTCACGACAGATATTTATGACATATTACATTTTTTTCTTAATTAATTTTTTTCACGTCACTTTACAAGTGTCAATGTATATGTTTTTTCTTCTTTTTTCATAAAAGAGTTTTCATGTCAACTTCAACAGATAAAAGCTCATAGATATATTGGTTATCGTGCATTACTAACACGACATTTCGTATATCGTCACGATATTAGCACACGAGACGCTGCACGATGTCGGTGACCTCAACTGTGTATTTTTGTCTCCCTTTGACGCTTAAAGATAGACAGAGACACAACTATAACGTACGATCCGACATTTTGATTCTTGTTAGTGACGTATCAGACGAGGGAGTGTAAACTGTGTTTTGTATTATTGATATTTAGTTATTTATAGATAAATGAAGTAAGGGAATATTGCGAATTCTATTAAAATGCCTAAAGATTTTAAATACGATGTGGTGCTTCTTATTGAAAGCGTTCGTGATAGACCGTGCCTTTGGGATAAATCGTTGGAAAATTACAAGGACCGCGTCGAAAGGAGAACAGCTTGGGAAGAAATATTCTCAATTTTGGACGAGAGCTATGAAGAAATGTCACCGGAGATGAAGAGGATAACGGGTATACAGTGACGTATAGTGCATGTTTCCACTTTAACACGACACGATAGTCTTCATAACCGAGAAATTCCACTATCGTAACATTCATATTGACATAATATTGTCTCCATTTTTTCAACGAGAGTAAGTGAGATGACGATGAATCTTTAAACAGTCTAGAAAACGCAGTAAAAATGCGCCATATTTTAAGAAACGCGTTTTATTTGTATGTTATTTTTTATTAAACTGTGTATTTAACTTTAGATTTTTTTGTTTACTTTACATGCAATTGTTAGATTATGTTAATTTTTTGCAGCTAATTAGTTAACAGCCCTTCACATACTTATGTAGATAGTTACCGTCTTGCGTTCCATACTTGTACTATTGCCACTTACCCTATGTTGTAAATCTCCAGGTGAACTCATACTCAACAAATGGACAAACATTCGAGATACCTTCGTCAAGACTCTCAAGACTAGAATGGGCAAGCCTAAGAAAAAATACTTATTATATGAACATTTAAAATTTCTAACAAAAATAACACCAGAAGAACACTATAATCTCACGAATTACGACGTCGAAGTGCCAATGTTATTTAAATTAGAAGAAGAAAAAATTAAACCAAGTTATAGTAGAAAGAGAACTAAGCAAGTCGATGAAAATGAAATGATATCACCAAAGAAATCTCCAGTTTTCGATGCTACTAACGAATTGGATTTCGTCGGCGTTGATGAGACAAACGATCCTCGAGTTATGAACGAAGACGAGGCATTTTTCGCATCATTGCTCCCCACAGTCGTGAAATACAACGAAGACGAACGATTAGAGTTTAGAATGGAAGTCTTAGCTGTTATGAAAAACATAAAAGATAAAAGGGTAAGTTTTCCTTAGACAATTTCGTACGTACCGAATTCTAAGAGTACAATTTACACTGGCTACACAGAAAGTCTGGATTCATGAAATTACAATGACGTGGTCTCGATGGAAATACCCATAGAAGTACAGAGATTGACGAGGAATAAAAGAGAAACGAGTCACAAAGTACTATTTAGGGGCAACGAATGAGAGATATTTGGGTTCATCAGAAAATATGGACTTAAAAAAAGAAGTCTATTTTTATAGCGATAAAAAGTATAAATACAAAGTACAATACTGATTTAGTACCTAATAAAAATGTTTTATTTAATACCCGTTTATTCTCCCTTCTCTTTCTTATAGTGTCCAATCGCAATAAAAAAAGATTCTGTAGGTCTAGAAACATATAGAAGACATGAAAGAGTAGCACTTATTAGTCACGGCGTTGGTGTGAAAAGGACGGGGAGATGATCATATTTTAAGCTAAAAATGACGGGTTGCAAATGGCGGCTTTAGAGGTTCTTTCTCTTGGACTTCTATCACCTTCCATTTTTAATCCAAATAAAACATTACATTAATCGATAAGATTTAATTACCATTTTTATATGGAGCAGTTTTAAAATAATATTTACATTATCACAAAGAAAACAAAATTCACGAAGTTGAAAATAAAAATTTTACATTTAGAAAACACAAAACATTTATTACGTCTAATAAATTTTTAAAATCGAATAAAATAACATAAGACAAATAAATCTCCTCAATGTATGATAATATCGACCTACAATATTCGCAAACAGTATATTTGGATATAAAAAATTTGAACCTTAAGTTTACGAAATGGCAGAAAAAACTATGTCGCCTTTAACGGGGAGAGAAATAAAAAATAAATTCAAAGGTCTCAAAACATCTTAAGTAATGCGCTCACTAACATTGAATCACTTGCCCAGAGAATATCGGGTATAGTGGCCGCGTGCACACATTCCCTAATACCACTATCTTAAACCTAAGATTAATGTGTTATTCTGATAAATATGGAAAATCTTGATTTAAGCCAAGATCATAAAAATACGGGTTAAACGTATATTTGTCATTGCCTGAAAAAAATCAAATAAAAACCGGTTACATAATATTAACCAGAATATTAATTCTTGTTAGTTGATTTTAAACTTTTATTTTGTCAACACCACGTTAAGTTTTTTTGACTGACATACTCTCTGACCGACATTAAACATTTAACTGGTAACACAGACTAAATCTATCTCACCCTACCCCATTCGCGATTAAATACCTGAAGGGTAACATGAAACTGTACGTAAAGATAATAATTTTTAAATTCAAATAATACTAGATACTCGATTTAAATCAAGAAATTTCAATATTTTTCCCCATCATGGCAACACAGCGTACTAATAAACCCGCCTTATGATATCGGGCTTCATAATTAACTATAAATGCGCCCATAATTGCTAAATTCACTAAATGTTAACATTTCCCCATTCTCTTTTATATACAACGAGACATGAATTATCTTATTAATACAGCTATTTAGATTATTTTATATATTTTATCTAGATCTGCATATTATATACAGAAGCTGGTTGAATACTGGACTTTAGTATCCGCTGCGCTTCCGCCGCAACACATAAGTGACTAGACGCTCCCCGAAAGCGAACTGGGCGGGTTGTATTTACATATACAAATTAATCTATGGATATCAAAAAAATTCAAATATCTTAAATAAATTGAACATGTCAATAGCCGTCTGATAAATTATATAAAGCACATAGTGTCGTAACTGAATTTTCTATTCACAGTTAATGTTACTAAAATATAAAAAAAAACCCACTAATTTAAAGCTGACGTTATCGGTCGATAGATTTTGTGCATCACGATGGAAGTCGCTTATATACTATACGAATATAATACAGTATATTAAAATAGAAAAAAAAATCTTTAATCGAATTTCAGTGTGAAATACTAAGGAGAAATATAATCAGTCTAACATCAAGAAGGGGCCATATTAAACATCGTTCATAGTCTAATACCTAAGTAATTAAATTCACGTTTGAGTATAGCCTGTTATGCTAAAGGAAACACTTAACCTACAATCAAATATACCTACAGAAGTACAGTATTATACAATCCTTTAGTGTATATAAGGAATATATTACAAGAATTACAAAAAGAAAATAACAATAAAAATGCCTCCCGTGAGTCAAGAAACGTACAAAAGATTTGAACTGACCGGTGATAGACCGCAACTTATATAACACTTAAAGCTTAAGCTAATCAACAGAAGAGACAGTCGCGGAAGTTAGCTACACAAGGTTATATACAAAACAAGTTTAACAATTTTTATCACTATTTAAAACTATTTGGAACCTCACGCGAATGAGATCATCGTTCAGTCTGGTATATGCTCGTCTTTGTTCAGTGCATGTGGTAGTCCAGGGAGGGTTTTCTGGGTTTAGGTTTCTTGGGTCGCGGCGGCAGGGGTGAACCGGAGCAGCAATGGCAGCAGCGCTTCACCACACCGCGGCCGGACGCACGCCGTCGCACATCCAGGATATCCAGACCTTCCCCAGCTCTAGTCTTCCCTGATAGACTTCTGCCTGTATCTCTGTCCACGGGGTGATGGTACACCCTCTTAGCAGGGTACGTACGCAGCGGGGGCAGCGTGTCATCAGCCGAGGAGCCGTCTGCACTTCCGCTGCGGTCCATTCCCCTCGCGTCTTTAATCACCGAGTCCAGTCTCACTTGGGTGCTCATACCACTCGAGTCCGTGGAGTTGTTCTCTTCGTAGGGCGGGCTTCTGCAACACTTTTCACTATCGCTGCTAAAGTCCATCTGTCGTCTGCTCTCAGAATGATCCACGACAGAGTTGGATTCCCAGTAGAGTTCCGTCTGGCGCTCTGGAGACGATCGATAGTCCACATCGCCGCACATGGATTCGAGCGCCTCCCTCGAGTTGTCTTCTCCCATCATTTTGGAGTCGTCTCCGGTCATCATTGTGTCATCGTCCATGAGGAATCTCGAGTCCCGTTTGTCGTCATCGTAGCCAACTCTCCTGATGACTTGTGTGGCGTTGCCGACCGAGTGGACGATGGCGGAGGCGGTGTTGGAGAGATGCAGTTCCCGGGAATCGGTGAGGATGCTGTCGTATCTGGTGAGGCCATCGTCTTTCACCAGCACGGTGTTCAGGTTGAGGTTGTGATGGTGCGATGCCGGCGTGTTAATGACGTTGTCCATGTGCGAGTACCGCACGTTGTGCTGTATGTGCGGACTGTCGTGACTGGCTTGGGAGATGACAGTGGTCTGCGGGCCCATCAGCACCGTGGCCGGGGCTCTACTGGCGTGGAATATTGTCGATGTAATGTGGCGGCTCTTAATTCCCGTTACTGTATACGGATGCATCTGAAAATATTTATTGACATTTTGTATGGACGCTTCTGATAAAGTAAGAAGTTATTAAAGTGAGGTGATAATCTATGAATTAAATTATGTTACAAAATAAACTCATCGAAAATATATTGCATAGAATTGAGGTTTCAGTCGAAAATTTAATTACTTTTACCTCCGTCTCTTCTGTCGGTTCTTTATGGAAGGTGGTATTAGGATGCGATCTTGCAAACTCCTCGTGGTCTAAGGTGATGGTTGCTCCGTTCTCAGTGACGGTGACGATACCGACGTCGTCCAGTCCCAGGTTCATAGCCAGGTCGCTGTTAGTCTCCTCCTGTAAGTCGGGGCGCTGCAGGAGATGGTCTGTGGCAATCTGATCGTCCATGTCCGGTCGAGGCACGCTTTGGTTAATAATAACGGGTGGAGCTGAAACACAAACAGGTACATAAGAAATTTTGAACGTGTTAAAGATATGTAGTTCAGGACTGCAAGGACCGCAGGCATGGTCTAAATACTCACGTGTGTGTGGGCGGTGTGGGTGCTGGTCCTGCGTGTGGTCCTGTGCCGGGGAGCCAGCGAACAGCAGCTCCGCCTCCGGGAACAGTTCGGAGGCAGACGGTGAATCCACGCCCAAATCCTCGCATTCCTCTGATAACGATTTCTACAACAGAATTATTACTTGTTTCATTAAGTAAAGTCACAAAGCATTTTCTATATTATTTTATTAGTATTAAAAATGATCTAATGTTGGGGAGTGATTCGTCTTTCAATATTCATGTCGGTGTGTGCTAAGTTAATTTGTTTTCTAGTTAATTGATTGTTAATTAAGACGTTTTTACTTACCTGAAGTCTTAGTTCATGTTCTAAAATGGCATATTTGTGCCTCAGGGCTGCGGTGGCCACGTGTGTCAATCTGTGTTGACGGTGTGATGTAATGTCTCTTTTCTGCACAACCTATACAGATTTAAAATCAATTTATATAAATATTAATACTAAATAAACGTAACATTGTTTCCGATAGTTCTTAACAGGCGAAGCCATTAAGATGGTTATTTATTTATGTAAAAAAATAAAGCAAAAGCTGAAATTTTTTTTACCATTGATTTTTTTAAACGTAACTTTTTAAGACTACGACAACGTATAAGGCTAGTTGAATATAATTTATGAAAACCTAACAGATACAGTTATATATGAAAATAATATGTTTTTAAAACAACAACTATAATAATAAGAATTTGGAATTAGGATGACCATTGATGCAACTACATGCACAAATTGAATGCAGGATAACTTCACAATGAGGGTAGATATAAAAGAACCGTATCGTAACATGCAAAATTAAATAAAACATGATTTAATTTCGCTAGTTTAAATTTTATTAATAGAAAAGGAAGCATAGAGTTCTCCTCGAAAACAGGAATTTTAGTAATACAAAAATAAGACTATTCGAATTGGAGACAACATTTACTATGAAAAATAACTTTAAAGGCTTCATCTTCGTTACCTGTGAAGGATGCCAGGATTACATTATTTTAGATGCAGCGACTTTCTGCTTATTACGATTTTACATTTCAATTTAGCAGACAAACATAAGGTTTATAACATAAAATATTAGTTTAGACTCTTAAGTATCATCATAAAATAACTTTGAAGCAAAAAGCACATCAAAGCTAACCGAGAGGATGATCGAATGCAGTTAGTTATTTTTTTCTGTTCAGCTGAATGCAGCGTGAATCAAAATGTCGCATGTATCGATAACGGCAAAACCAACACGGAACGAAGAGGAAAGCGTATAAAACAAAGAGAGGCGTGCAGTTTCTACTTAAAGAGGCGGATCTATAGGGGGCGGGGGGCTGCGACGGTACTACGATGTGGTCACCTGATGGTAGCACTTATCGTCGCAATCTGACGTGTCTATATCGTAACCGCATCGCGGTGAATCGTCCTGCGTATCGACAACGTAAGACCTTTTCGACTCTACATCGAACATCTTATCAAAGATCCTTTGCGCCTCCATTTCGGGACTGTATCGATCTGGGATCGGGTCCTGAAGTTGCAAAACGTTTCGTCACTTTTAATTTACGATCGGTAAATTTAAAAAAGGACATATTACGACGTGGAATAAATAGATATAATTAAATATATACTTCAGTTTTAATAACAAATGTATTATGATACAAAAGTTCTTTAATGTAATAAAATACTGTACTTACAAGAACGGTCCTGTCCAAGTTGTCGGTGCGCACAGTCTCTTCATAGGTATATTCGTGAGTATTGGCCGATGTCGGAACGTTCCAAGGCTCGGACCCGTCCGGACTAGGACTTCGTTCCGGTTTAACGCTTTGGGTCTCCTTTTCAATCCAAGGCGAAGCCGCCGTTCCAGTCTCCACGAGGTCTGGGGGAGTAGTTGCGGATGCAGGCGACATCGTGCTGTCGGGCGGCTGCACCGTTGTGGCAGTTGTAAAGTTGAACGCGTGAAGATTGTGCAGCGCCGCTGCAGGCAGCCGCACATGGCGTACACCGGGCCGGGCCAACATTGGCTTTAGCCCGGCGGGACCAATCAACCGTTGCAATAACAGCGCACCGGTCGTTCCACCTTCACCGCTTAGGGTTAAAAGTTTTGGACCGCGATTTGTGACTATAGCTATTTGCTGACCGCCCTTTAGCATCGAGACGGGCAGGATGTAATTAGCCGGCATTAGCAGCGCCGTAGCGGGTTTTCCCGTCGGTCCCCGAGCAACGGTGATAGTCTGGCCGTCAGCAACTATCACATTGCGCTGCAGCTGCGGTCGCGGTTGAGGAGGCGGTGTTTCGTTTTCGAAGGACAACTTTCTTGGTAGTTTACGTGGACTATCTTGGGGCGAAGGGGTTTCTAAACAGTTCTCATTACAATCGCCCTGCGACGTCCCGCAACTGCTGTCTTCTGATCCCATGGTGCGATTGGCGTCATCACCATTTATGGGACTCGAGTCGCGCGCACCAGATCGTCTTGAACCACTTGAGCTCTTTTTTCGTTTCGAGGATCCCGGATTGGATGGTGGATTTGTTCGTCTACGAGGCGCCGGTTTATTCTTATCGGGACAATTCTCAACTTGCTCTCTGTATTCGGCTAATATGTAAAGGATTCTTTGCGTCGTCTGCTCATCTTCTATCGGCTTCTGTGTTGAGGGCTTAGATGGGACGTTATTTAATTTTAATGTATTTGGAGGATTCGACGAAGCTTTCGGTCTTGGTCTTGACCTAGAACTTACTTTAGGCTTTGGATTGCTTTGTTGCACAGATGTACTGTTAGAGGTTGTAGCTGTTGTTACCGTTTGTGAAACCTGAACATGATTAGAAGAAGTGGGAGATTCAGTTACTGATGAATCTGGGGATCGAACGACCGTTGAAGTAGTTGGTGTTGTGACGGTAGACTTCTTATTCACATATGCGACATTAAACTGTTGATTTGCTCCAACAGAATATAGTACTGGAGTTGGCTCTGAAGGAGTCGGAGCGGGCGAGGCACCGTCTTTTGCGTCACTAGATGTGGTAGTGTGAGGTTTGGAAATGGGAGTATTTGCGGTAGAACTAGGTTGTACCGTACTCCTTTCTTTGACTTGTTCTAATACCATGTCAAATTCTCTTAATTGTTCGAGAGTCGAAGAACTCAAGTGTGATTCCGGGGAACTTTCGCTAGGTACTTTAATTGGCCTTGTCATTGGCGACTGTGGTAATCTTATAGTCTGTTGGCCCAGTGGCGGTGCAGTAGTTAGAACCAACTGTTGATAGACAGGTTGGTTGGCGCCTCCGATGACGTTTCTTTGGATTTGAAAAAATGACGGCCTAACTACTCTTGTACCAGTCACCATTTGTGGTGCTTTACTTAACATCGGTAATTTTATACGCATCTGTGTTAAAACGGGTTGAGATTGAGTATTTTGCCCACCTTCGTTTAAAGTACCAGCGTTTTGATTTTCATCAGGTGACAGGTCTGAATTAGGCGTAGTTTGCGGTACAATTTTAATTATAGATGGTTCAACAATATCGCCTTGATTAACAAACTTGACATCCTGATGTTTTTGGTTAGAATCATCTACTAATTCCGTACTTGGTACAGTTATCAAATTTATTGTCTGTCCTCCGCCAATATTAACAGGTATTTGTCGTGTATAAATCACTCCACCGTGCATAGTTTGAATATTCATAGGAGTAACGGACTGCTTTAATTGTGGAACTAAACTAGGTGGTGCTTGCGAACTTTGGGGCGATTTTCGCAGCAACAATGGCGGACTACTTATTTGCGCAATGTGATCAAGATTCATTTCGGAAGTTTCAGGAGTATCATCGACTGAATTCCCGGATGTCAAATGTGTGTCGTTACTATTAATTTCGCTTTCTTTTTGATTTTCCTCTTGAAATACAGGTTTTCCAAAAGCTTGATTGAATTTTGGGAGGCTTGTGCCCTTTTCTGGATTTGATTTATTTGAAGTGTTCTGGATAAATTTTGCATAGTTTTCCTCGTATACAGATCGAGATTTTATTTCTTGTTGTGTATTGAGGTTTTCTTCAACAGGTGCATTACTTGCTGCAGCAGGCGTTGGGCTACATTCTTGATTATTTGATGGACCATCCTGAACACTTTGGGTTTCAATGGGCTGTAATCTCAGAACCATGCTACCATGATGTGGAGTGTTTAACTGAATAGCTTTGCCGTCGGTAGATTTACACACGAATTGTAACATTTTTTGTTCATTTGAACCTTGAACATTAGCAAGATTAGTAAGAAGATTTACAGTTTTAAGAAGTTGATTTGCAGTGGTGTCTTTTTGATTCCCTGCGTTGACTATGTGGAGGAGTTGATTGCCATTTTGGTGTCCAGTTTCCACCAGAGACAGTGCCCCAAATGAATTAGTTTGTTGTACAGAGGGCCCGTTATTAGTTGGATTTGGTTTTGCACCCTTGTTTTGTACAATATGTAGTACAGGCGCAGCGTTAGGTGTACTTATAACAGATTGCTGAACGTTATCGACGAGTGTTATTTGATTACCTTCAGAATGTTTCCCTTTTACGATGTGCAATACTTGTGGTGTTATTGATGACGTCTGTGAATCAGTTTCTGCGCTACTTGTGTGGCTTAACGGAGGAGGAAGAATTTGCGCTAAAGCTTGCTGCAAAGCTACTGCGTTAATGGACGCGGTATTTGGACAATCGTTTATGTGATTTTGAGTCGGATCTACGTTGCTTTGATGCAAATCTTCAGATATATTATCTACCAACGCTTGTGCTTTTGAGTTGTCCTCAATTGTCGTCGTAATACCCGCGGCACTCATTGCATGAGCTATTTGATCCGTTCTTTCCGATACAGTATTTTGTTTTTTAGTTGGATCAAAAAAGGTTGTCGGAGTATCTAACTCTGAACATTCGTTGTCAGCATTGGTATCGTAATGATAAACTGAATGATTTGGTTTTTCTTTTCCTAGCGTTTGAAATTCTTTATTTTTAAGACTCAAATCCTTAACTTCGTCGTGATTATAATCTTTTTTAGTATCCATTTTGCCACCGTAGCCGAATTCAGACTGTAAAATTTCTTGATTGTTATGTAAATGTGCAGGTTCTTGAGATTCTGTTATTTTATGACAATCATGGCGATTATACTCTGCCACTAACGGCAAGGTGAGGTCTGCAGTTGTGAGTTCCGTATACTCCGTTTTAACTGGCGAATGGGAATCATCATGTGAACTATTTTCTTCGGAACATTGCGGAGGACTGGCGTTTGCAACTTGTGTTACGCGAGGGTCACAACTGACAGGGTTTTGCGCAGCAGCGCTAACCGGTAGCTGTCCAATTTGGACAACTTGTACAATACTTTCGATTGGAGGAGGCTCAATAAAATCATACAAGTAAAAGTCTAGTAGACAATTTGTGAAGTTATTATCTCCATTAATATTCCGCATCACATCTTTATCTTTCAAATTGTCTCTGATCCAGTTATACTTCAACTCTATAGCTGTTTTCTTAAAATACGAACGTACCTTGTCTTTTAATTGTATGTAATCAGTTTTTAATTTAATGTTTTGATTCTTTTTAGATGAACTAAATAAATTAGATACCTCAATTGAATTTTCGCAGCCCACATATTCTTGGGACATTAAAAACGGCTGAGATTGCTTTACGTCCGACAGAGTCGCAGCCGAAAATTTTAAAATATCATCCTTCTTTTCTAAATTTTGTATGACTCTGCCGGACTCCTCACCAAAACCCATATTGAAATTAGTATCACTAGTATCATCCGAAGTGATGGAGTATTCAGTAACTTCAGCAGATAATTCTTCCACCAATGTTTGTTTTAATGGATCTGGATAACACCGTTGCTCACAATTATCTTTAAATAAATCAGATGACTCAGTATCAAATAACGGCATGTTGTGCGTTTCTTTTATTGGCCAAGCACTGAGTAACTTAGGAACGTCAATTTGTTCTTTATCAAAGGGTCTTGTATAGGAAAATTTTATAGAACTGTAGTAATGCAACAGCTGTTTATACTCTTTACCATAAGCTGTATTCTTTTGCGTGTCAACGCTCGCTTTTAGATAATCAATGTTTTTGCTTTTTCTGTAACGTTTTTTACACATCTGATGATCTAGAGAATATTTACGTTTTAAGCCGCTCTTACTTAATCTGTCCAAACTTTGTTTGTCATCTTTTTCGTATCTTAAGTATGTTTTTGTAGGTGGTACAATTGATAAACTATCATCACTTAGTACATCTATCTCAGTACTAGATTTTACTTGCATCTTATCATCGTCACCGGTATATTCATCTTTTTCATCACGTAAGTAATCGCCTTCATCAACTACATCGGAAAACATTGTATTATTTTCCAAAGGAAACATGTAACATGTGCCAGCAATAGGATCTTCATATTCTATGCCTCTTAACACAATTTTCGCATCATCTTGGTATACAAGTGTTACATTTCTGAGAACATCGTATTTATCTTCAGCTCCTTGTTCATACGTTACATCACCATTTTCAACATTACCTAGGACTAAGTCTTGAACTGTTTCAGTAGTAATATTTTGTACTTCTGTAGTTGAATTGATTACATTACAATCCTGATTTGTTAAATCCGAAATATCGTCTTCATTATCGCAGTACTTGGTTTTACTTACATGATAGAAACTATTACTGTCGTCCTTATTAATCGCAGCATAACTATGGTCAATATTTATATAAATCTTTTTATTTTTAGACTGATTACAAATTTTTGAATTATCCGTAATTGCGATATCATTTTCTTCTATTATGTGAAAACTGTCACAAAGATCTTTAGGTTTATCAATATCAGAAACGCAAATTTCGTTAAGACCTTGCGTTGTATCTGATGTATTAGAAATATCTTTCATGTATGAATAACTCTTTGCCAACGATTCTAATTTAGTAGTATCATCTTTGCATATATCAGTTTCTATAGGTATAGTTTTATTTAATCTATTTGCGTCATCAAAAAGATCTATGTCTTTATTATATTTATTACATTCAATGTCTATTTGCTCTACAATATTTAGACCCGTATCTTTGTCAAAAGTCATATCACACTTCGGAGTAATAACGCTTTCGATTACACTGGAAGGTTCTTCTGTGTCTATACAAAAGTTATTTTTGTCTTCACTAGGATTATTTGCTAATTCTATTTCGTCAAAATCATTGGCACTTTCTGTACTTAATTTACTACCAGTAACTACACAAGGTTTATTTTTAACTTGTTCAGTAACAACATTTTCTCCGCACGATGGTATTTGATGTTCAAGCTTTGATATTTTCTTACTAGATGATCTGTACTGATAACTTAATTTTCTTTTCAGCGGAGGTTTACTATTTTCTGTCATATTTGCAGTGTCGTGTGATATAGGATATAACAAATCCAATAATGTATTACTTTCGAAAAACTTTAATGCCAATTTACTCAAACTTTGAACTTGAAACGTTGGAAGTATTTCAGGAACAGAATTGGATTTTTTTGTTTTAACATTACCTTTTACTTGCGTAGAGAGTTCAGCATAGTCCGGACTGTTATCGAACAAATTAGGATCTTGGTGAATACTTTCCATTGGCATAGCAGTTTGCAGATATATATCACGTTTTGTCATTGACCATTCTGCGTAACAGGTATCTTCAAAATATACAGGTGATTTTAACCCTTCTTGTTTATTGACATTTATAACTTTTTTATCGATCGTAGTATAATCCATCGTTTCTTTGCATATTAGGAAATCAGTCAATATTGAACAAGATGTGCTTCGTTCGAGTTTTGGTTCATATTTGTTTTCTTCGTCTTCAACTAAGGGATTTATTAACTCATCATTTATTTTGCAGTCCCCAATGTCGTCTTCATTTAAATCCATATTATTGCGATCGTTCTCTTTTAATGTTCTTTCTTCCAAGAGGTGAGGGCTTGGACTTGGGTTTGCTTTATTAAATGTTTCAGTATCGTCGCATCGAACAAGTTCGACATAACATTTCTGATTCAATGCACCGATGTTTTTCAGTAAATTATCACATCTGGTAAGTTTTATGAAACAATCGAAATTATTTGTGTGTTGTTGTGTTCGTTCATCCAGTCCATGAAAATCTTGTTTTTGTTCTACAGTTGTCGGAGAAATTGAATCTACATCGTTAACTTCCTCACTTGATATTAACGTAACAGGTACATTTTGAATTTCATCTGTAGTAGATTCCATACTTATTTTTTCAGAACCTAAATCTATCTGTGTTTCGTTTAGGGTATAATCATTATTTAAACTTTCTTCCAAATCTGTAGTTTCTAAAACGTTTTCATCACATAAAATAGGAATTTTAGTGCTTTGTTCAGATTCGTCGACTTGTATATTTTGAAATGCTTTGTTTGTTGGTGCTAAGCATTCAATGCTTTTCTCTATGCCGCACGATTTTGTATCTTTAATGCTTCTTTTTAATGCAATTAATTCTTCTATAGAATATCTGTTTAACGACACAGTACATTTACTAGATAATTTAGTTTGATGTTTAGCAAGATCTTTGTCTAAAGAAGATATTGAGAAATCGCCGATCTCCGTTGGTGGAGTAACACCAGAGTCAATTTCTTCATCGCTTATTAAATCTATTGTTTCAATCACATTTGTATTTTCCAAGCTCTTCTTTGTCGTTGTAGAAAACCCGATAGATTTCTTTTGGCGAACTTTACGACTAAAGGTGATTTTATTGTTAAAAAAATTATTCAATAATGAACATTTAAGGCTTGTATCGATGACTAAATTATTGATATCGCAATTCTTATTTCCTTTAATTATTGCTCTAAACTTTATCCCGTTAGGCAAAATTACATGTATAGCTTTAGAACCTTTGTTTTTTGTTGTTTTGGGCGAAACTTCCTGAAATATTATTTGTTTCAAGTCCATTTTTCCCGTGTAAATTTTTTGGCATCGTTTTTTAAGTGCATTTTTTTTATTGAATGCTCTATAACATTGCAATCTACAATTTGCAAGCTTATCATTATTATTTACAGGAACCAAGTTATTCGTCAACTCGATTTGAGGAACGCTTGTTTCAGGGACTTCATCCAAATCTATCACTTCATCAGAAACTGTTTGTTCCTTTTGTTTTATAGAAGAATTGTTATCTGTAGATAAGACTTTTGTCTCGTTTCTATTTTCATGCAAGACATCATTATTTGCAAGTGGTGACTTTATACTCAATTTATTTTTTGAACTTTCATTGCCAGTAAGTGTTTTAAAAGTTTTTATTTCATCGCTGGGATTTTTATACGCAATCCTCTTTTTCTTCAAGCGACGTAAAACGCTTTTACCATTACATATTTTTGTACTAGCAATATCTGTGTTAGACTTTTGTTCACTGCAATTATTTTTTATACTAGTTTCGTCAGCCTCGATGTTATTCGTATCCTGTTTTTCGTTGATGACGTTTTGGGATTTATTTAAGTCATTTTCTTTTTCTTCGCCTCTGCCATTAATGTCAACCGTCATGTCCTTAGTCTCAAATATGTCCAAATGCTTAGTAGATTCAGTTAATATTGATTTTGATATAACTGACCCAATCAATTGTTCTTCGATGTCAAACGATTCATTTTCAATGGAGAACGTGTTAATTGAAGGGTCAGAATCGTATTTATTGATAATTTTACCGTTTATTTCCAAATTACCTCGAATTTCTGTATTCTCTTCTAATTTCTGAAGTCTTGTTGCTTCAATAGAATTATCTTGACAATTATTTAGATTTATGCTTGCGTTGCATCCACGTATTTTCGCAGGTTTAATCAATGTTTTTGCTTTTGAGATTTTACGTTTCAAAGTAGATGTAACTTTTAGTGGTGAATTTTGTGTTTTTAGTTTGTCTTTTTTACTTATTACTTTAGGTGACTCATTCAAAATCGTTTCATGTTTTTCTATAGGGTTTGTTGTAGGTTTCAAAGAATTATGGTGTAATATATCCGAACATTTATTTTTTCTTTCGTTTTCTGGATCCGTTGATTCTGCAACATTTCGTATATCCTTATCATTTTTACACTTTTCCAACGATTCATTTTTCGAATGATGAAGGATAGATATTTTTTCACTTAGAGGTATGATATCGTCATAGACGTATTTTACGTTTAAATCGCTATTTTTGTATTTGTTTGCCTTAACGCTTTCGATTTCACCTTTTTCTAATGACGTATAAGGTAAGGGTATTGGTGACCGATTGGTGTAATGTCTTGTTTCTCTGTTTATTAATGCCATGCGCTTTTGTTCTAGTCTTTTACTCTGCATGGAACATAGTATCTTCGTGTCAATGTTTTCCAAGGGTTTTACTGTTGGGAACAATTTGTGGTCTGGCTTTGTATGTGGTAATTTAACACCAACTAGTTCTTGCGGTAGTGCTTTTCTTTCTTTTACTTCTTTTTTGTCATTGTTCAAGATTAAATGTTTATTGTTTTCCAATTTCACATCTGGAAAATTGATTTCGTTCTTTGGTGTAATTTTGTTTTTACTATCCCTTGATGGTGTTTCTATAAATTTATTAGATTGGTTGGCACTATTAAGATTTGGTTCACCAGAATATTTCATAGGATGAATAGTAGAAGTGGGTAACGTCTTTTGTACGTTATTTTGCGTCCCAGCTTGCGTTAAAGCATCGCCAAAAACAACCGGAGTTATTAATGGGGCTGCAAATGTCGTTGTAGGTAAAAAAGAAATATTTGGCATATTATTTATAGTTATAAACTTGTTGGGATCAAAGTTATGTACTTGTGTATTTTCGTTTTCTTGTACTGGCATGGTATAATATGGATTGTAAGCCGTTTCTAAACCAATTCCAACATTTTGTATTGAAGCCCTCGGCGAAATTGTTGTAAAGAGAAGATTTCTTGAATCCAAATTATTTTCTCTCTTTTGGTAAACGCCATTGTTTGAACGAGGTGTATGCAATGAGTTTCGACTTTCAACAACGTGTGAAATATTTGACGAAATTGTATGCCCTTTCATACCAGGAAATTCAATGTTGTGAACTATATTGTTTGGATGAGTTATTTTCGTGGTTTCAGCAACTTTTATATTGGAATAAGTTCGGTCACCGCTGTTGATAGCAGAAACCGATACAGATGACTGTGGAAACTGTTCTAAGTTAGTATTTATAACATTCCTCGCTATATTGGTTGTTGCGAAACTATGATCTTGCTTAAGAGCTGTTGTGCAGATGCTTTGCATTTCTTGAGTACGTGCTGCCCTCTGTGTATTATCGTAGAAACTTTTTTGGAACGGAGTTACAATAGTAGAACATTGACCTTCTTTTTTGTCTGTTACATTTGCATATTGCAAGGATTCGTCATCTGAAATCAGTTCACCAATTTCTTGGCGCAAATCGTCATCCATGAGTTCCTCCAATATATCATAATCTGAATTCGGTAGACCTGATATGAAGGGATCGTGATTGTTGAGAGCATCACACGTAATTTTTGGTACCTCAGGTAATGATGGTTTAGGAACGTAATACATATCTGTTTTCAGCATAACTTCTGGTTTACTTATTCTTTTCAGTACTTCTGGCTGTATCGTCGCCATTGGGACACTAGTTACTGCCGTCCTCAAGGTATAATCTGAAGGAATGACGCTTTGATAACCGGTGTTACCAAGCGAGGTGCTGTTTTCTAGAGTCTTTTGGTTTCTTTTTACTGCCTCTAGCCCCACTGCCTTTTCATTACAAATTGTATTCTTAGTTGTATGCTTTGTAAATGAATCTTTATTTAGTGCTACATCGAGAGCATTTGGACCTCGGCTCGGTGTTTTGTGTTTCAACAGATCTTGCATGACCAATTTCCAGTCCGATTTCGTTTCGATGTCTAAGTGTATTTCTGAGTTTTTCTTCTGAGTATATCTCTCCTTTTTAACTGGCATCTTACTTCCAGAGTAAACATCATTCATCGATCCTGGGCCTGAGCCGAGACCTTCCGACTTCCTCGACAATTGTGACGAATTAATAATCGCTTTACTCCCACTTGTCATTTTAATAACTGATGGATGCGTTTGATCGCTTGGTAGAATTAATGTTTTATTTGAAGAGTTTTCATGTAATATGTTTTTATTATCGTAGTCAGTTAAACGACGAAAATCTGCCCCATTCAAATCACGAGTATTAGAAATAACGTTGTGGCTAAGACTCCTACTTTCCGTCTTACATTGGGGAGAAATTTGAGCAACATGATTGAATTTGACTTCAGGTGTTGTTATAACAGGATTTTGAGCATTTAACTTATTTTGTTGTCGCAACAGTAATAGCAGGTCTTGTTGGTCTTTTTCCATTAGCATAGACGACTTCGTTGTTCCGTCGCTGGCTTCTGTTTTTATCTTCAAGGGAATCTTATTTTCATTAGGTTTTATTACTTTAGATATACCAGATTGATCTTTTATCATATTTGGGGTGTTCCTTTTTTGTAAAACTAACGGAGCACGAACCTCTCTTTTTTGTATTACTATTGGAGTATCATTTGGTTGTCCGTTATGAATTCCGGTTCCCACTCTTGATATTGTTAAATCTTTGGTTTGGAGATAGTGGAATTTGTCCAGTTTATAATCTGAAATCTGTTTATCCAATTCAGAAGCCAAAATTTTTTCTTGTATTTGTTTAATGCCGCTAGTAGGTTTATTTCTCGAATGGCTTTGCTTGTTCTTATGCATATAGTTAAGCCTAGCAAATGTGTTAGGTGCTTCAGTTATCTTTTGGTGTATAACAGATTTGGCACATTGAGGCGTTGAAGCTGAATGAATTTTTAATTTATTTTGGTTAGGCATAGAAAATGTTTTACTAGAAGGTTCGGCTCTGTCTTTTTGAGTTACTGATTCTTTGTAAAATTCGTCATCAACTGCGCCAGCGTTTATAGTCGCCTTTAATTCATCTACAAAATTTTTGTAATTATTTTTGGTTTCGGTTGTGCTTTTCAACTTGTCACATCGTTGTTGTGGCTGTAATTCATTTATCAAATTCTTGTAAATGCTTTTGGTTTCGTTTGTATTTTTTACTTTGTCAGCTTGTTGTGGTTGTAATTCATTAACCAAATTATTATAACTGGTTATAGTTTCACTTTTAATATTCGGTTTATCATTTTTATTACCGGAATTATTATACTCAGTTTTGATTTCGTTTATGTTTTTAGGTTTATCATGTTGTGGCTGATTACGAACAAGAACTTGTTTCTGTGCAATGCGCTTTTCTTTATCCGGGGGTCGTTTGCTGTGTATTTTATTGTTTTTATTTTCAACTTTAGGAACAGGAGCTGCTTTGGGTTTACTTTGAGCGTCACTTTCCTTCAATTTCTGTTCATTCAATGAGCTAGTATATTTTGCCAAACCAAACACGATTCGACCAACATAAAGTTTCCCTGAGGTATCAGATGCTCCGGAATTTCCGTTCAATATACTTCTCACTTCACTAGTAGAAGGACTTATGTGATCGAACTGTTTTAAATTTACATTATTCATTGACTGGTGCGACGAGGAACTTTCAATCAATGGCACGGAACACGGATCTTTACTGTCTTCCTGTAGTGTTTGAGGAGGGTACACTATGCTATGACTTTGAGTATGTAAGCCATTGTCAGAACTTTGTAATTGACTTGTATTGTTTACTTGTGTGTTACTTTCACTCTTAAACCTTCTCACCTCTATCAGTTTTTTTAGATTTTGCTTCACCGTATTGTCTTGTTGGGGCGGAAAGTCTTTATAGTTAGTGTTAACGCTAGATCCATTATCTGGGACAGCACTTTGCTGCTGCGATGTTATTACTGAATTAATTCGTAATTCTTTCTCTTTATTTTTGTTATTTAGTGATCTTTCATTGACCACTTGAGACAATGGCTTGTTATCGTCATCTAAATCAGCATTAGATTTGATCGTTTTATTGGTAAGTGCTTGAAGACTTCGATGACTTTTATCTGGGCTATAAATATCATCCATCGAGTATAAACCGTCAAATACGACATTATTGTCACTGTTATCGGAGTTAAGTGATGTTATGGACAATTTTCTGTTTAGATTTTGTTCATCATTTTGTTTCTCTTGCTTTACGGAGGCATTTTCAACTCTCGTAACTTTCATGCCAATAAGACTTGATAGTGGAACCGATGGTTCAGTTCCTGTATTTATTTTATCTTTCTTCTTTCGTTCTTTCCTTTCTTTCTTTTCAGTGCTATCTTTGTTTTTGCTCGATTTTGCCTTTGATTTTAATCTTTCTTTACTGTGCGGTCTCTCCTTTTTCTTTTGGTGCTGTTGGTCATCAGATAATGAAAGTGGATCGACTTCTTCGTCGGTGGATACAAGACGTTTAGATTTTTTCTTTTTCCGTCTGACTGGAGAATCTGTATCATCCATACAACTGGATATCGCATCTTCCGTTTCAGAGTCGAAGAGGACTTCGTGCCATTGTTTTTCAACCTCAACCTCTTCGTGCTCTACTAAATGTTCGTAACCTTTGCGGGATAATTATTAAGAGTTAGAAATATAAAAGAGATTATCATTTTTTTCCTATCTCAGTTGGGAAATGTCTCCAATCAGTTTCAATATAATTAATTTTTAAAGTGTTTATTTTATCATATTTGACGTATGAGAAATATTCAACAAATAGAATAAAGCGCGTTACCCCTTTTACAAAACAAAGTTCACTCTTTAATCTTTATTTTTTCATTAACTTGACAAATAACTTTAAATTTCGATTATCATTATATTTCTATCGTCTAAAGTACTAATGTTAAATCAATATGTTTAAAATTTGATTTCCAATTATACTACTACAAAGGAGTTTGGGATTTGTTACCTAAATAAAAAAAATGACTTACCTTTCTCGATGCCGTAATAAATATTATCTTCGTCGTCCTTTTCAAATGGCAGATGTTGGAAGGATCGAGGGTCTAAGTTGAGATACTTCAGCTCCGTGGTGAGAGCGCGCGTGCCGCCGTCAGTACGTTCCATGTACGTCTTACAGTTCTCCAACAGGACGTCCCTAAACAATATTCATCAATTATAAATAAATCAAATTAATACCTATTACTAAAACGAATTAAACGCTTCGTCAGATCGCTTAAATATTAGAGACGTCAAATTTTAATGGAAATTTTAGTTAACGTTTATAATTTAAGCTGTCACATATTTAAATGTCGTTTCAATATTCAGCCATTAAAAGATGTAAATAAGCTTTTATTGATTTAAAAAAAAACCTCAAGAAGTACAGTTGCGGATATTTATTTCCTACCCATATGACTGTTAGATTTTTTCTTTAAAGAATTCTTTATATTTAAAAAAAAAATGGTGCTGACATCGCAATTAATTCGAAACCTTTGATAGAAACGTACATATTCTCTTAACTTACTGGTATTGGAAGCTTTAATATTTAATTATTACTAGCTTCCGCCCTCGACTCCGTTCGCGTAATATTAATAGAAACAAAAGAAAGTAGCCTATGTGTTCCAGACTATCCTCTACATCTATGCCAAATTTCATCTTGATCCATTCAACCTTTTAGGCTACAAACTAACCTCCATCCATCCAAACTTTTACATTTATAATATTTGTAAGTAAGATTAACCTGTTAATATCCCAGGAGAGTATTTTATGCCTGGGTCCGGAGAGAAGCACGGCCAAGTCTTGACACAGATCCGTGCCCAGACCTATCGCCTCCCCCTCCGTCAGCACGGCGGTCGACAACACATTCGCCTGGAATTATTATAATTATACATTAACTAGCTTTCGCCTGCGACTCCGACCGTGTGGAATTAAAAAAAAAATTTAAGTGTTCATATGTGTTCTTCCAGACTATCCTCTACATCTATACCAAATTTCATCGAAATCCGTTCAGCCGTTTAAGCTACAAACTCTAACAAACCTCCATCCATCCATATAAACTTTCGCATTTATAATATTAGTATGATTTAATTCTGAAGAAATTATTACTTTGACAAGAAACATCTGTTATACTTTAAAATAATAAATGAAAGAACATAAGGCGATACCGATGGATCCCGAATTATAGAGTTTTTTCTAAATATTGCATCGAGTATAGACAAAATTACCATACTTTTTGATTTTGAACATTTATCATTTAGAGAACAATATTTCAGTCTTAAAACATATTTAGGTAAGTAAGGCATTTTTAGGGCCTGTCCCACCACTGGCTGATGGAAACTCTGATAGCTTAAAATTGACGTCACTGTCAATAAAGGGAACAAAATCCGATATTTCCATCAAATATTTCATAAGGATTATCTAACAATTTACAATAATTGTGGGATAGGCCCTTAGTATAACTTACAACATGCGGATATGCAAAATAACAGAAATAAATAAAAACAGGCAAATTTGGAAACATCAATAATCATAAGAAAACTATGACGTAAGTCCACATATAATAAAAGCCACAAAGTACTAAAAAGGAGTAAATACATCATTTTGGGTTCTAAATTTCCACTTACAAGAAGGTTGCCATTGCCTCCATCCTTTAAGTTGCGTGATATAAAATATTCAATTGTAAGAATTTGAAATTAAGAAATCGTTAGATATTACGATTGGTTGTGAAAAAAACGTAAAATTGATGAGTTATCCTAAGTCTTAATTTGTATGGAAAATTTTGAACTGATAAATAAATAATTAGGCCTACATATGCAGAATTTTATCTGAACAGTTAAAACTGAAAATATGGGTTGCTTAACAATTATTGAATTAAAACAAAACAGATATAAAAATTCATTTAACACATTTTATTAGGTAACATTTACTTACATTATTTTGTATTTGTTTGATATTCAATGTTTCTGAAGTCTTCACAAAGTTAGTCGTTGTCCGACTGTCGGTAGCCCAACTGCCAAACTCCGAGTTTGTATCTTCCCGAGGTTGAGTATCCTGGAATATTTTTAACAAAATATAATAAAACACCTGTAAACTTTATACATTATTATGCTAAAATCTAGAGTGAAATAATAAATAATCGAAACATCACAATGAACAAATCAAAAACATTCTATTTTTCCGTTAAAACAACAGAAGCAAATATTTACCTCATGTAGAATTAAAATGAGAAAACGATGCAGAGAGAGAGAGAAAGAGCGAGAAAGAAAAAGAGAGAGAGAGGGAGAGAGAGAGAGAGTACAAATATATTTCCCTAAAAATTAATTTACCATTTAAAACAAAAAAAAAATTATAACTCACAATATTGGTAATGAGCGGAGGTAAAGCGGGCGCGGCCACAATACGCTCGTACATGGCCGGCGAGGGGTGGACAGAGAAAGCGGTGAGCGCGCACTCGTAGTTCAGGCGAGGACTCTTAGATAACAGGGAGCCGAGCTGCGTGAACCACGTGCACAACATTTGCTCTGTGGACCGCGCTTCCGATGCCTGGACAAAATTACCATCAAATATATACACACACAAAAGAACCCAAACCTCAAATTAAATTTAAAAAATCGGGCTAATGGATTATTACAAATAGGTGAAATATTTTCTTCATCAATCGAGTAAAAAATACCTAATAACTGCTACAATGTTAACACGTTTTCTTAATAGTAAGATTTTAATAAAAACCAAAGTTCAATACAAAGTATATGCATATTAAAATACTTGTATGTACCTTTTCAGTCTTCAATTTGAGTCTCTCCAGTTCGTTCATGCCGGTGGTGATCGCGCGCACGTACAACTCGCACACGAACGCCTTCATCTCATCCTTGCACTGAAACCACATAAAAACAACAATAAAATAACATCACATAATAATGTTCATCATACTAATATTATAAATGCGAAAGTTTAGATTCGTCCTGGGTACGACGTTAAACTTCCTAGTCGCCAACCCGCATGCCCAGCGTGGCGACTTAAGGGCACAAACTTCCCAATGAGAGGACACAGAATGCCACGGCCCAGTACCCGGCAGCTCTACTATTCCTGGCCAAGGTGGCGGTCATGGTAACGGTAGGGCAGGGGGTGCGAAGAATCCCCGGTCGGTAGGCCACCATAAACAACTGACCATTGGCACATTTAACACCCGGACTCTGAGGCGAGACGAGGATGTGGGAGAGCTGGAAGTAGAATTGAGTTCTATAAAATGGCACATTCTTGGACTTTCGGAGGTCCGTAGAGAGGGTGAGGACACCGTAGTCCTCGAGTCTGGCAACCTTTTCTACTACCGCGAAGGAGACCAGCTTTCCCAGGGCGGTGTCGGGTTCCTCGTTCACAAAACCCTCACCAGCAACGTTGTGGAGCTTTCGAGTGTGTCGTCGCGGGTGGTATACCTCATACTCAAACTCTCTGAGAGATATACACTCAAGGTCGTGCAAGTATATGCTCCAACGACGACACATCCGGATTGTGAGGTCGAGGCCCTATATGAAGACATCTCCAAGGCCATTCGTAACACCACCAAGACCCACTTCACCGTTGTTGTTGGGGATTTTAATGCCAAAGTGGGAGTACAGGAAGATAACGAGTCTATAATCGGACGGTATGGTTTGGGGTCGAGAAACCACAGAGGACAAATGCTTGTCAATTTCCTGCAGATGGAGGGGCTCTATTTGATGAACTCGTTTTTCAAAAAGAAGCCCCAAAGGAGATGGACCTGGCAAAGCGCCGATAAAGTGACACGGAACGAGATTGATTTCATCATGGCGGATAAAAAGCGAATATTTAGGGATGTCTCAGTGGTCAACAGGTTTAGTACCGGTAGTGATCACCGACTTGTTCGGGGCACCCTAAATATAGACATGAAGCTTGAAAGATCCCGATTGATGAGGACAACTCTACGTCCTTCCCCTCCTCAAATCATAGCGGCCTCCGATAAGTTCCAACTGGAACTTCAAAATAGATTCAGTTTGCTGGAAACCTCTGCGGACGTGAACGAAGTAGCAGAGAATATTGCGGCGACACTATGCAAAGTTGGCAGACGCTACTTTGGATCAAAACGTAAAGATCGCGAAGCCAGGCTCACCCCTGAGACTCTAGCTCTCATGAGAAAGCGACGTGAAGCCACTGCATCCGCAAGAGCTACAGCAGAGTATGCAACTCTTAATAAAGACGTCCGGAGGATGATTAGGCGCGACTATCGTAGCTTTAATACTAGACGCATTGAAGCTGCGATAGAGCGTAACAAAGGCCTTAAAGCCCTTACGCAGACGTCCAAAAATGCACCTCTGATGAAGCTTAAGCGAGAAGATGGCTCCGTAGTTTCTTCCAAGCTAGAGATCTTAGGCGAGGTAGAAAAGTTTTATGGCGACCTCTACGCAATACACACAAATCCACCCACACCTGCCGCTCGCGCTAGTGACAGCAGAGCACCGCTAACCCGGCACTACTCGGACGATGTCCCGGACATCAGCTTAGATGAGATTAGGATAGCCCTAGAACAGCTAAAAAATGGTAGAGCACCTGGTGAAGACGGAATTACTACAGAACTGATAAAATCCGGAGGGGTTCCTATCCTGAAGGAGTTACAGCGGCTGTTTAATTCCGTCATACACAACGGGAGTACACCATTGGCGTGGACCAAGAGTCGGGTCGTGTTGTTCTTCAAGAAAGGTGATAAAACTTTGTTAAAGAACTACAGGCCGATATCTCTCTTGAGCCACGTCTACAAGATCTTTTCTAGGACTATCACGAATCGTCTCTCCCGAAAGCTTGATGAGTACCAGCCACCGGAACAGGCTGGGTTTCGAAAGGGTTACAATACCGTAGACCACATTCACACCCTCAGGCAAATTATACAAAAGTCTACTGAGTATAATTTACCTCTTTGCGTGGCTTTCGTGGACTACGAGAAAGCGTTCGACTCTATCGAGACTTGGTCAGTTCTGGAATCCTTGCAGCGATGCCAGGTAGACTATCGCTATATAGAAGTGCTGAGGTGTCTATATGACGCCGCGACGATGACCGTGCAAATCCAGGACAGCCAGTCAAAGCCTATCAAGCTGCAGCGGGGTGTCCGACAGGGAGATGTTATATCTCCGAAACTGTTTACCGCTGCACTTGAAGATGTCTTTAAAACGCTGGACTGGAACACACGCGGAATAAACGTCAATGGGGAGTACATCTCGCACCTTCGATTTGCGGACGATATAGTCGTAATGGCGGAATCCCTGGAGGATCTCAGTCGTATGCTTAACGATCTCAATGCCGCTTCCCGACGCGTGGGGCTACGGATGAATCCCGACAAGACGAAGGTCATGCTCAATGAACAAATCGTCCCAGGCCCAATTTCCATCGGGAATGCGGCCGTTGAAGTAGTAAATGAATACATCTACCTCGGACAGGTCATACAGCTTGGCCGGGGTAACTTCAACAAAGAGATCGATAGACGCATACGACTGGGCTGGGCAGCATTTGGAAAGATGCGACCAATCCTAACCTCGCAAATTCCTCAATGTCTAAAGACGAAAGTCTTTAACCAGTGCGTCCTCCCCACAATGACCTACGGCGCGGAGACCTGGACGCTGACGGTGGGGCTGGCCCATAAGCTACGAGTCGCACAGCGGGCGATGGAGAGAACTATGCTCGGTGTTTCTCTAAGAGATAAAATCCGCAACGATACAATTCGACGGAGAACCAAAGTACACGACATAGTTCTCAAAGTCATTAGGCTGAAGTGGCAATGGGCCGGACACATCTGTCGATCCAAGGACGCCAGATGGGGAAGGAAAGTCCTAGAATGGAGGCCACGGACAGGGACCAGGAACGTGGGGCGTCCTCCCTCCAGATGGACCGACGACTTAGTGCGCACGGCGGGAAGTCGTTGGATGTGGAAGGCGGAGGACCGCATTCTGTGGAAGGCATTGGGGAAGGCCTATGCCCAGCAGTGGACGAACAAAGGCTGATGATGATGATGATGATGATGAAAGTTTAGATGGATGTTTGTTACAGTTTGTAGTCTAAACGACTGAACGGATCTCGATGAAATTTGGTAGAGACGTAGAGGATAGTGTGGCAGAACACCTACTAGCCGTAGTCTATCTCACTACTCACTTTTATTAATTTTTAATTCAACGCGGACGGAGTCGCGGGCGAATCTAGTATAAAAATACAAGGATTCACAATATATTTAGGGAGTCTCGAAAGGTAACAGCGAAGGTGTACACTTGATTTTTTGAATAATCACTGGTAGTAAATACAGTTATTTATGAGTCATTTGGTATTTTACTTTTTTTGTTATTTTAAGTAACCCCAGTGATAGAGAAATTAATGAGTAAAAGGTTAGCATGGTATGGTCATGCTGTGAGGTATGAATCATGTTACAAAGAGAACTTTGTGAGTGTAGAGAGATATAACGATAGAGGTATACTTAGAAAAAGATGGATTGTGTGAAAGATGTGATGACTGACATGACACAGGTGGAGTTTTATTAAAAACACCCTAAAAAAGTACTTTCCGAAGTTTCGGTTTTGTCCGAAACTGAGATCAAGGCCGAATGTTTCGGTTGCTGTTTCGTCCGAAACGGAGATCAATGCCTAAAGTTTCGGTTTCTGTTTCGTCCAAAATGAAGAGCAAGTCCGAAAGTTTCTGTTTCTGTTTCGGTGACGAGTTGTGTCAGACGTACCTTATCGGAGACGGCAGCGGCCAGGGTGTGGAGGTGCGCGGCGGTGGCGGCGGGCGCGGCGAGGGCGCTGGCGGCGCGCGGCAACGCGGCGGCCGGCAGCAGCGCGGCCAGCGAGCGCGCGCAGTGGTACAGCGCGTCGTACACCACGCCCGCGCACGACGGCAACACCATGCACCGGGTTATTGTCACCTTTACACAATCACACATGTATCAAGATGGTCCTGTGCGGATTTACCCGATTTGAATTATAATTTTTTTTTTCATTTAAGCGCCAATAGCCTAATGGTTTGGGGTACTGAGTATGATCATGCGGTCAAGGGTTCGAATCCCGCCATTCCACTAGTGTCGTGAACCATATCCTACCACAAGCGTGGAACTTAGTTGGAATGGTTAATGAAAAACATGGCAATCTTGCTTCTTTGATACTTTATTGTAGTGTTTGGATTTCCCTCAATATATAGCCTAAAGCGTGAGTTAAGTGTAGCTTTATTTATTAAAAAATATACTGTTATTGCTGATATCCTACATAACTAAGGAGTGTGTTTACTATATTATTATATTTTATTATATTAGTATAGATTAAGTGTAACAATACATAAACACTGTACAATATTTAATTCTGATAATATCAAAAAGACAATATCTAACCTGTGCAATAAGTTTAGCGACTTTTTTGGCGTTCTTCCAGAGTTTTTTATCGCGTGGCAGCTTGTCGGCGCGGCCCAGTAGCCTCTCCACCAACTTGTAGCCGCTACGTAGAGATCGTTGTTTGGCCTAAAATAAACCAATATTACTTACAGTCTTGTCTAACAGTATTAAGAATTTTAAAAAATAAACTCTTTCCTTACCAATTCTATACACCGCGACGCATTATCACCCTGGAAGAGAAGCACAAACTCCATATCTGTGAGGAGATCCCAGACATCCGAGTTAAAACCAGCTTCCCTACTCAATATATCAGCAAACGTCGGTTCACTTTTGTCACTTTTCTCTGCGAACAAAAGATATCCAATTAGAAAACTTAATACATTTTATTTATAATTCCCATTCAACATAATAGGAAACAAAACAATCATAACTCAATCATGGCAATGCACAATTTTCTCATAAGTGTTCATCTGTCATGACATGTCACTTATATCATGACAGTGCTCACCTTTGTCACAACTGTGCAAACCTTAATCATAAATGTGCTCATCTGTCACGACAGCTCTAACCTTTGTCAAAAAAGTTTTCACCTGTCATGACAGAGTCCCCTTTTGTGATCACAGTGCTTATCTTTGTCACAACTTTGCACACCTTTGTCATAAATGTGCTCACCTATGATGACAGTGCTCACCTTTGTCACAACTGTGCTCACCTATGACAGTGCTCACCTTTGTCACAACTGTGCTCACCTATGATGACAGTGCTCACCTTTGTCACAAACGTGCTAACCTATGATGATAGTGATCCCTATGTGATGACAGTGCTCACCTATGATGACAGTGTTCCCTATGTGATGACAGTGCTCACCTTTGTCACAACTGTGCTCACCTATGATGACAGTGCTCACCTTTGTCACAAACGTGCTAACCTATGATGATAGTGAT